AAACTACAAGGTCATATTAATAAAAATAGCATAGTTCTGGCACAAAAAACATATAGATCAATGGGACAGAATAGAGAGCCCAGAAATATACCCATGCCTTTATAGTCAACTAGAGGCCCAGTGCACAAAATTCATGCACAGAGGTGGGCGGGGGGTGTCCTTCTGCCCAGCCTATGCTCTCGGGAGATGTCTGATTTCGGATTTAGGCCCAATCCCTATTTCATTGTAGTGTCGTTTACAGTAGCTAAGACTTGGAAGCAACCCAAGTGCCCATCAATAGGTGAGTGGATAAAAAATTGGTATAGCCGAAACCAGTTTGGCTCAGTGGATAGAGCATCGGCCTGAGAATTGAAAGGTCCTGGGTTCGATTCTGGTCAAGGGCATGTAGCTTGGTTGCGGGCATATCCCCAGTGCGGGGTGTACAAGAGGCAACTGATCGATGATTCTCTCTCATGGATGTTTCTAACTCTCTATCCCTCTCTCTTTCTCTCTGTAAAAAATCAATAAAATATTAAAAAAAACACACACAAAAAAAACCTGGTTCATTTACATAGTGGAATACTACTTGGCTATAAAAAAGAAGGAAACCTTACCTCTGCGACAGCATGGATGAACCTGGAGAGTATTATGCTAAGTGAAATAAGCCAGTTAGAGAAAGATGAGTACCATATAATTTCACTTATATGTGGAATCTAATGGGGAAAAAATAAACTAACAAAATAGAAACAGACTCATAGATACAGAGAACAAACTGACAAATGTTAGAGGGGAGGTGGGTAAGGAGCTGGGTGAAAAAGATGAAGTTAATCTAGCAAAAAAACAAAAACAAAAACAAAAAAAACAACACCCACAAACCCACACCAAAACCCTCATAGACACAGACAGCAGTATGTTGATTTCCAAAGGGAAAGGGGGTTGGGAGAGGAAGAAGAGGGTACAGGCTGCATAAGTGGTGACAGAAAGAGAGGACTTTGGGTGGTGAACACACAATACAATCCACAGATGATGTACTATAGGCTTTGCACCTGAAACCCATATATTTTATTTAACCAATGTCATCCCGATACATTCAATAAAAAGAAAAAAGAAAAAGAAAAAAGGGTCATGGACATTTTGTCAACAACATACAAAATGTTTTGTCTTTGCCCTCTTGTGACTATTGCCTGTGACGCAGTTCCCTTTGTCTGTAGATAAGATCTCCTTGTCCGCGCGCTGGCCGTGTGCTGGTGTCGGAAGCACCCTCGGCCTAATCACACGCACCACCCGAAGGCCCGTGGGGACACTCTCCCCCGCCCCACTCAGATGTACTCAGTGATACGATCACCATGTCGCCTGGGCTCCGGCAGGTTCTGAGTCAGCACATCCTGCCAGGAGGAAAGGCCGGATCTGCTTGCCTAGTCCTGTGCTACATGATGGGGTTCTCTGCTATTTTTCTTCCTCCGTGGCGCCCACTCAAAACAAACCGTCTCACCAGCATTAGAGCTGGGGGTTGTGCAACGCTGCAGGGGTCTACTCCAACCTCTTCTCCGCAGGGGGGTGAGGGAGGATGGCTTCTTTTTGGCAGGACCATCTGTCACAGCCTGAGGGTGGGGGGAAGGGTCCCGGAGGGTATGCACAATACCCAGTCCCAAGACGGGGATGAATAAGGAGGAGGGTGTTTATTTCTGTTTTTATGAGGATTTGATTTTTTAGAGAAGACACTGCAGCATTAACTCTTAAGTGAGTCAGTAAGACACATGGAGAGAGAAAGAAAATGTTTGGTTTTGAGGCAACAGAATGTCAAACTGCATAAAAGATGCAAAATGACAACATTTAAGTTTCTTTTAGTTCAATTCTTATCTCCAAATCTAAGTCAGTATTTTCAAATGAATACAGGCATTTCCACTTAGATTTCCTTTAGGTATAAAACCAGGTTTCTCCTTCCCATTTTTGGTAACAACAGCTAACACTAATATAAATATCACTTACTCTTCCTAACAATGCTGTGAGGTTGATACTGTTATTGTCCCCATTATATAGATGAGGAAACCATGGCACAGAGTGATTGAGTAATTTGCCCTAGGGCACACAGCTACCAAATGGAAGAGCCAGAACTCAACCAAGCCAGGGGTCAGCAAACTCGTTGGTCAACAGAGCCAAGTATCAATAGCACAATGATTGAAATTTCTTTTGAGAGCCAATTTTTTTAAACTTCTTCTAATGCCACTTCTTCAAAAAAGACTTGTCCAAGTTGTGGTATTTTGTGGAAGAGCCACACTCAAGGGGCCAAAGAGCTGGATGTGGCTCGAGAGCCGCAGTTTGCCGACCACGGACCTAAGCCATGGGCTCTGGCTCCATGCCAGTCCCGCATCGTGCTTAGCACTCCTAAGGTCGTTAACTGAGGGTTATCTTTGATGCTTCAATCTCTTGAAAACAATGGTTAGGCCAGAGCTCTGAAATTCTGATTTCATCAGACCAGTGTATCTCAAAGCACCCTGTTCTTTCCTTCAAATGTGTATCTAATGTGATGACCGATGTACTAGACTGCTGACTGCGAACAATCAGATGGAAAGGGGTCCAGAGTGAGAGCTGCGTCTGCTTTGTTTCCCAGCAGCATTCTCAGTCTGTCCAATAAGTATTTGCTGACAAACACTCCCACCGCTTCTGCTGTCCTCAGTCTTCACGGACTGCTCAGCTGGTGCCTCACTTCTACGCGGTCACTAGATGCTACTGCTCCTCAGGGCTCCACCCAGGATCTCCCTCAGCCACGCCCACACGCCCGTGGTGTCTGATACTCCGCCATGTAGACCTCTAGCCCGCTGGTCTCCTATGACCTCAGACCTGCATCCTCAAGGCCCCCTTTCCCCCCCACATCTCCTCCCCTGGTGTTGCAATCTCAGCACACCCCACGCTGAGCTTCTGACAGTCTCCCTGAAGCTGAGTCAGTGCAGGCTCCCACCTGGGGGCAGAGCAGTCAGGCAGTGCAGAGACCTGGAGTCTGCCTGAGGGCCTCCCTCCTCCACCTCTGTCTATCCGCCCGCCATCAGGGACTGCAGATTTCACTCCCAACTCCCAAATACCCATTTGTCTCTCCATATCTATTCCCGCCATCCCTTCCACCTGCCCTTTGAGAAGCTTCTGAATGTCTCCCTGCCTCCACGCTCACTTGTCTCCTGTGCTTATTTCAGTGTGTTCCGTGCACATTGGTTCTTATAAAGGCAGATCTGATCACGTGACTCTCTCCTGCTGGCTTTTCCTGCTCTCAGGATAAAGACATTTTCCCTCCGTGGCTGTGCCATCCCGGGTGCCCTGCAAGAAAGCTGACTTGGGGGTGGTATGGACATGCATTCTAGGCTCAGGTAGGGAGCAGGAGGGAAAGCTCAGCCCAGGGCCCTTAGCACAGCCCTTGCTCTGGAGTCTGAGCTGGTCTAGAGCTGAGCGAAGCTTTCAACAACCTCTTTCCACAGAGCTAGGCTCTGCCAATGGCCTTTGCCTCTATGCAATAGAAGGGCGGTTAGTCTCAGCTTCCCCTGGCCCAGGGTGAGGATCCCCTGTTGGGCCCTTGGTGGCTCCAATTCTAACGTGGACCTCAGTGGGAACTTCTTGTTCTACGTTCTACTGTTGCCAACCCCAGAGGCCTCCCTCGCTGGGAAGGCCTGTGTCTCTGCTGCCCTTTCTGTGGGATCTCCAGGAAATGAGGACTTGGTCAACCCCCAGAGAAACAGAATCCAGCACCTTCTCACCCCTCACAGCCGGCCCTCTCCAAGCCCCCTCCCTTCTGCCCTGCAGCCTCCCCGGGTTCCCCAATGGGCAGGGCGGGTCTCTGCTCTGCTGTCAATCTTGCCCACCTCACTTTAAGCACAAACCACAGTTCTTTAAATGCCCAGGGCCAACCTGATTTGTCCTCTTTCCTTTCTGGTCTTAACTTGACCACAGTTACCTCTCCTTCTCTGTCCGGCCACCCTGGCTTCCTTGTGGCTTCTCAGACTCATGGGGCGGGGGGAAGAGGGGAGTCAAGGGAACAAGCTGCCCTCCCAGGTTCTGCAGTAATGGATTGTTCCATGTTGGATAATAATTAGAAATGAACATCAGCATTGAATAATGATGACCGGCAGCGTACAGACATCTGGTTTATCCTGGGAAGCCCCCAGAAATGGGACCCAGTCCTAAGGATTCAGCAATGAGTGTATGAGGGGCTGCCGAGGGGAGGCAGCCACTGTGCTGGCATGGACGTGGGCAGGAGGGAGGGTGTGGGTGTCCAGAAGGGCTCTGGCTTTGCAGAGGTGAGCTTAGCAGGTGGCCTACAACCCAGTGAGGGCAAAGCAAAGGTCCGTCCATTCAGGTAACGCATGTTTATGTCGTAGGCACTGTTGCAGATGCTGGAGATCCAGAAGTGAAAACGCTCACAATATCCCTGCCCTTATAACACAAATTCTAAGCTGGGAGAAGGAACAGTGGACAAGATCAGCAAGTAGAGTAGATTGTTACACGGTGGTAAGGGGAAATAAAGAGCCAGGAGCGGGAAGGGGGCATATGGGGGTGCCTGTGGAGTGGGAAGCCACGTAAGACCCCTGGAGGGAGCTTTGAGCGAACACCTGGAGGAGATGAGAGCGGGGCCTGGGGAGAGGGTTCCACCAGTCCATTCACATCATTCCAACTATTCCTCTACTCAGAGGCTCACATCACACAACTGATTTTCAATCAAACATGACGTTTCTGGGCAGAAGAAGGAACTGACCCTGGAAAGACTTGGGGCGTGACACATGCAGCCAGCACACAGCCCATGGCGTGCCCCGCCTTGGGCTCTGGCTCCCGCCCCTTCCATCCGTCAGTCTGCATCACAGCAAGCAGTTCCCAGGGAGATAAACCATTGTCAGTACCAACAAGAATGCCCTTGGCCCCCAAACACAGCAACTTCAGGCAAGAGTCGAACCTTCTAGCCACTGCACACACATAGTCCATTCAAAGTGCAGTAACAGAAATGAGCGACAAGGTAAATAATGAAAGAGTTGCCAAAATACCAATTTTTCCTCTTTTCCCATTTGCTCCTTTTTCGCCCTTTGGGCCCTGGGGACCAGGCTGTCCATCCGACCCGTTGTGTCCTGGTAGCCCACCGAGTCCTGGCGGTCCTGCATCAAACATGGAAACAAACATTAAAAACAAAACATCTCTTTGCTGAAGTTCAGGTCATTCCCTGAAGCCAGCGAAACCGGGCAGCATCCACACCTTTCCCAGATCCTTCCCGCTTCTCCCCTTCCTTCCCGGGTGACAGGCAGGGTGGTGAAGGCAGGTTCTCAAGTGGGAGGGGCAGGAGAGTTCAAGATTGGGGCAGAGAGGAGCAGGGACCCAGTGATAGTGAGGTTTGGCTCTAGAATCTTCCCCCTTCCCCACCTTAACCCCTTCTGAGTGATCCTGGGGGGTTAGCTACCCATATTCCCCCCATAAACTAGGAAAAGCCATGGGCTCTTACCTGGTGGGCCAGGTGGGCCTAGAATAGGAAAAAAAAAATTTAAATGGTGAAAGCAAAGCCAGCTCCACCCCCCAAAATTATTTCCCCCTCTTAGAATGTACTGGCGAGGAACTGCCCATGCCTTTTAATTCAGTATATTTACCCAAAAGATTCTTTTTTTTTTTAATCAATCTTTATTGTTCATATTATTACACAAAAGATTCTTAAAATCAAGTCAGCACAGACACATTTGCCAACCAAAACCACTTCTGTTTAAGTGTCAGTGGACCTAGAATAATTGTATTGATTCAGAAATCAACTTAACTCAATGAGGCTGGGTGACAATACAGGTAGGCACTACAGCCCTGGCACACGTAAGTGCCGGCATTGCAGGGCTGAGGTCTGGCTGTCCCGAGAGCAGTCCCACGGGCTCCCAGCCAGCCAGTGTGTCTCCGCCAGGCCACGGAGGGGAGCTGACAGCAGAAGCTGGTTCACCTCCCAGCTCTCTATTTTGTTGCACAAAATAGCCCAGGATGAACTGAGGGCCCAGATCAGGTAGCAACTAGTTTCCTTGTAGTGAAATTACCCAGAAAATCTAAGGGTGTTCAGATGGATCATTTACACATAATCTAACAAAAGAATTTTGCTTTTTCAAATATGAGTCTTCTTATCAGTTATTCTATGTGAGCACTCAGACAAGCTGGTGAGGCTGTAGAGGAGGCAGCTGAGGTCCTTCTGTTCTCCAGGCTGCTTGTGATCAGCAGCACTACAGGGGAAAGGTCTTCCACAAACCCAAGCTGTGGCCTTTCAGAAAGGTCACCATTTACTAAGCACCTACTATGTGCACCAAAATTCACTAAGCAGCAGCAAACGTAGCCCCTGTGTCTATTGTATTGACAACCTACCAGGGGAAGGTAGGTACTTTGCCATCACAATGAAATGTGAGGGAGCTGCAGAGAAGCAAAACCCCAAAGGGGTGCTGGGGCAGCCTGGGCACACGGCCATCTGAGAGGCCTCCAGAGAGGGTGAGCCTGGAGCTGGGGCACCGAAGAAGCAATGGGGAAAGCGGTCCATGGTCACAGCGGATGAACCCCACCTCACATGGGCCTGCTTTTTCAAAGATGAGCCCAGGGTAAAGCTAGATCTTGCTCCCGGGCTCTGAGCCCAGGGTCTGCCTGCCCACATCTCCCTGGGGCACCAAGGCTCTCTCCCCTCCCCCTGAAGTTGCCAATTCAGTCCTGTGTCCTGTGGCCTTCCCACCCCAACCCAGGCAGCCTGGCCTCTGCCAACCCACCACCTCATGTTGAAACTTGTGCCTTTTACACCGAAGTTTTAATGGAGGAGCTTTCTGTGTAAAAGGAGGCCCAATTTCAAGCTGGTGTGAAAGGGGAAGGTGTGGCCTTCGAAAAGCATTCTGAGGTGCCAAAGAACCCCCGCACCACTCCTGTAGGGAGGCACAGATGTGCTCTCCCACCGCGTCAATCTCCCCTAAGTGGTCTCAATAGCCCCTCACACATTCACTGCACAGTATAGCCCTCCTGTCACCATAAAAATAAGAAAGAAAGAGGCTTTTCCTGTGCCTCTCAACAAGGCTTTTGTGCCTGTAATTCCATCCATCCGAGCATTTCCCCAGCACTCATTACGGTCACACGAGGGAACTCTGAGAAGGGACTTCTGGAGAGGGAAGAAAGGTGCTTAAGCTACAAGAGCTTCAGAATAAAGGACCAAGCTGTTCTGAAGATATTTAACTTTCTGTGAGGGCTGAGATGTGACTTGAATAATTCAATTAGCATTTCCCAAGAAGCCACAGGATTACAGCTTTTCTCTCTGAGGCCAAACCAAGCAAATGAGAGTCAGACTGACTGGGGTTCCTTGGGGAAGTGTCTTTCTTAGCAGCCCAACACCCCATTCAACACTCACAGAAACCCCAGGTCACTCGGCAAACTCCCAGTGAGCGCCTCCCGCACAGACAATGTGGGTTCTGGGGAGAATACTGCCAAAAAGGGTGAAGTTTCTTACTTCTCAGTAGGCACAGCACAGCCATGGGCACAAGTGAAGCGTGGATGGGATCTCCCCAGAGCCTGGGCCCTGGGCTGAGGGGCCCAGCAAAGCTTCAGCGCGCTACAAAGTCTTGGTTATACTGTAAGGTCCACGGGAGCATGCATTTAGTCCATAACAGACTTTTCATGCGAAAAGGATTCTTCCTGTTTCCTCAGAGTGTAGTGTATTCCCTTTGGAAATGCAAGGTCTGAAATCGGGCTCTATGGCCCATCCTGGGGTGGGGGTGTGCATGAACTTGCTCCCAGCTTCTGAAGGCAGGAGGCAGGCACCCCTCCCTCAGGTGAGATGCAGGACTCTGTCTGACTCAGGTGTAGACAAGCATATCAAAACCACCCCCCCTCCTCCGCCCCATCCATCAGACACTCCTTGTCACAAGGCTTGCTGTGCCCAGAGGTTTATTCCCTCTCCTGTCTATTCGTCCTTGAATCACTGAGGGCAGGGGGTCAGCGTGTGACCCTTCCAGTCCCACCCAGCACACGGCAGGCACCACACAGACCACACTTCAGAAAAAGTGCTTTCTCCACTAATTAACAGTTTGCTTCTAGAGTTTCCCATGCATGTTATATGTATCATATGTGTATGATGTAGGGAAATAATGATTTCTGGTAAGAGAACTCTACCACTTAGCGAGGTCCTTTTATTTCTCTTCCTTTTAAAAAACTAACGGGAACAGGAAAACATCCATGGCTTTGGTTCAAGGTACCACACTTTTCTAATTACCAGAGACCTCATTATTTTTCATGGCTATATTTCTATGGCAATACTGAAAATATTATTTTTCATAATTATGTGACAATTGATTTTCATGCCATTAAAAACATCTGCTAAAAGTAAACCAACATGTATTTTTATAACCTACAGTGTTACTAGGTGCTCCCTCCGCCCGGCCCGTGGCTAGCGTGCCTGTGGGCCGAGGCAGTTGGGGGTGAGTGCAGCCGGCCTACCTGTCAGGCAGATGCCCTTGGTGCTGTTGCACAGGTCCACCATCACACGGATCTGCGGGAAGAGAGGCTGTGATTAGTAGCAGCACAGCAGGCAGGGGGCCGTGAGCTTGCCCTTTATTCACACAAGAAGAAAGGAGTTATAAAAATTCACAGAGTAACTTGGGGAGAATATATAGATGTCCAAGGAAAAGATAACCTAAGACACAAAAGAGATCTTTAAAAGATTTGAAGATATTTGATATCGGAAGCTCATCTATCAACAATGTCAGAATTTTCTTGATTTCTATTGGAGAGAGAGAGGATGGTGAAGGGATTGTCAAATTCAATTTTCAAGGCGGCACCCAGTGTCTAAAGGTCTCAATCTGCCGGCCTGAATACAGAGGGTCGGCAGGTTCAGTGGTTAGGAGCAAGCACTTATAGCTGGGTGAGCAGGGACACTTTTGTTTTCTCTGAAAATGTAAACAATATAAGCCCTAGAGGGCAGTTATCTCAGGGAATGTGGATGCTACCTACTCACCACCGGATGGCACCTGGGGTTGGGGGTGTCATTCCAGCGAGGTGTTAGCCTGATATTGGGTCTCCCACACCTACGGTGCAGCCCCTTCCCTCATCCATTCTCCCATGCTCCTAATGAACTTCACAAAAACCCAGTCTGAGGGAGTCCGTCCTGATTCAAACAGGTCTGTGATTCCTTGCTGCTCTAAAGATAGAGCAAAATTCCTCCTTCTGTGGACTCACCACATGCTGCTCCCCCTCCCTTTTTGTCTGTCCTCTAGTTACACTCTGCCTCAGTTTGCTTGTCTGTAAAATGGGGAGAGCATTAGTGCTTACTTCTTAGGATTGTTGTGATGATTAAATAAAAGTGTTATGTGTGAAGTTCTTAGAACAGAGCCTAGCATGTAGAAAGTATGTATAAAAGTATTTTCCATTTCACGAAGGCAGCAGAATATGTGGAGAGAAGCATGGATTCTAAATTTAAACTGCCTGTGTTCAAAGCACGACTTTGCCACTCACAGCAGTGTGACTTTAGACAAGGTACTTAACCTCTCTGTGCTTCAGTGTCATTGTCTGTACATAAAGCTCACACCCATTGCGTGGCTACATGGATTAAATGAACAAATAGATGCAACTCATTTAGAACAGACCCAACACATGATAAGCCCACTCTTTATTCTGTTGTTTTGTCAATTCATCGAATGTACTAAGAACTTCGTTAATTTATCATCTAAGAATTTTCAATATCTAGATACAGCATTTTTTAGATCCAAATCATGTGGCTTTTCAAGCTGTGGGGAGAAAACTTATTAGTTAAGAAATAAAGTTGACACAGCTGGATAGACATTCCAGGAGAAAATAGAAACTGAACCCCTACTTCACTCCTTACATTAAATAAGTTAATTAAATGATACTGATAAAAAATGTAAAAGTAAAAAAGAAACTAGTAAAGGTACTAGAGGAAACCTGGGGAAATATTTATAATAGCATTAGAAGGGGAAAGACTTTTCTAAGAACAAAACAACTCCCATACTACATATAGAGAGCGATTGAATTGATACATTTGACTACCTAACACTTAAAAAATTTACCAGAGGTAAAACACTACAAGCAATAACAAAGGAGAAACACAAACCTAGAAAAATACTTGCAAAACGCTTCTATATAAAGAGCTGTTTTGAAGAAACACATAAAGGAACAAGAAACCAAAAGAAAAATGGGCCCAAACTTGAAGTTAGGAAAAAGTAAAAGCTTCATCTTCACTTAGAGCTAAAGAAATAAATCCAAGGGATGGAATTCTATTTTCGCCTGTTAGGTTTGTAAGTAAAGAGGAAAAGATCACATGTCACAGGCTTGTCAGGAAAGCAGCGCTCCCATGTCCTGCTCATGGAAGTTTAAAGGGATACTCTGCCTCTTTGGAGAGATTTGGGCAATAGCTATCAAAATGTACATGAATCTACCTTTTGATCCATCCATATACTCTGAGATTTTCTCTACAGATGCACACATATATGTATGTGTAAGACGTAAACATAAAGATGGTTGTTGCAGAAATGTGAGCAAGAGCAGAGACTGAAAACAACCTAAATATTTATCAGTGAGCTCTAGTTAACATGTAGCATGCTGCACAAAGAAATACTGCTGAGGTGGGGAGAAGAGAATTTCAATCCATAAGACTGACATTGTGAGCTCTTCAAGATAAATTTAAAAATGCAAAGTACAGAGCAGCATATTAAATGTACTTCCATTTATATATATATATAAAAAAAAAAGCCATGCAGCCCTCGCCAGGTAGTTCAGTTGGTTGGAGAGTTGTCCTGTACATCAAAAGGTTGTGGGTTTGATTCCCAATCAGGGCACAGACCTAGTTTGTGGATTTGATTCCCAGTTACGCTCATACGGGAGGCAACCGATCAATGTTTCTCTCTCTCTCTCTCAGAATCACTAAGCACATATCCTTGGGTGACATGTGCTCTGTTAGTCATTTTATTTCTATATGCTTCCTGCTCCTTGCCGCTTTCAAGATTCTCTCTTTATCTTTGGCTTTCCAAGATATTTCTGGAGAGAAATATAGAAACCTCGAGTGAGGAGGAAGGGAGGGCCGGGTGAGAGGGAGCTACTCTGAGCATGACACATCCTGTTGTTTTATTCGAAATCTTCACTTTTTCAATTAAAAAGTTAGAAAGAACATGTTTTGATTTGAGGGGAAATTTGTTTTGTCTTCTGTCTAGGTTTATTCCGGTTGGTAGGAGGTCCAGAGGAAAACTCGGTCTGCATTAACTTTTTGTAGTCTGTCAACAGTATTTGTTGACTGCCTTAGAAATCTACTGTGAAATATATCACACACATCACAGGTGTATAGAATGTGCAAGAACAATTTAAAGATGAGTAATAAATACATGCGTACATACTGCCCCCAGCTTAAGGACTGGGAACATGCAAGTGTCCCTTCACAGAACACACCCTCCCACTCCCACAACTCCAGCTGGAGCGGAGTGGGCCTGCTACTTTCCCTTTCATACAGATAAGGACACAGAGGCCCAGAGAGGTCGCCTCATTTACTCAAGGTCACACGCTGGCTCACAGAAGAGCTGGGCTCAGCTCCAGGTCTACTACACTTTTTATTATGGCTCTGATGAGTATCTCAAAGGAACCAGACAGAAAAAAATTTTGATTCATTGTTTTTAGTCATTTTCATAAATAAATGTAATCAGCTGCACAACTGACAAAATTTATTATAAAAAAATGTATAATTGCCCATTGAGAAGACCATTAAAGACTTTACAATGCTTCATTTGTTGCCTTGGGGATTAAAGCAGAAGCAGAGATGTCAGACAATGGAAAATCAATAGGGGAAATTAGTCTTTCTCTTTTATATTCATATGGGTCTGGTATAGGCCAGGTTCTGTTAAAAAAGATGAAGATTTCATTTCCTGATCTTTTGACTTCATTTATATGATGAATGTCAATTTAAATATTTACCAGGAAATTGTGTTATTCTTCACTGGGGAATATTACTTGGGAATATTCTTTTAACAAGTGTGGGCTGTATAAGATTGTATCAAGGGGAAACATAGGGTATGAAGAGGTGAATGTAAAAAAGTCAGAGATATTTATTTTCCTGATAATAGTGATTAAAAATTGGGATGAAAATAAGAAAATCCAAATTGAAAGTTACAAAATCTACACTGTCAAATTAAGGAGTCACAGTTGGCATAGAGGAATCTTGATTTAGAATTGGAGACTAGGGCAAGCTGGGAGAGGCTTTAGAGCTCATTGTCTGGGGGTGTTGGCATGATCCATTCATAGGGTGGCCCTGTTGGGAGGCCACCCCTCCGCCCCCCACAAGTCACCTTGGCCATCCCCTTGGGACAGTCTTTGCTGTGCCCAGTATGCTGTGCTCACATCTTCACTGAGGCCCCAGTTAAAATAAATGCCAGCTCGCCAGGAGGCTTTTCCTGACACCCAATTGAAAGTAGCCCTATCACCTCACCCAATTTTTCTTTTTGTGGCATTACCATTATCCCATATTGTCTTGCCTGTATATACCTGCCCCTGCTCTCCAAGAATGGAAGCCTTTAGAGAGCAGGAGAACTTCTGTCTGTATCCCCTGTGCAGAGGACAGTGCCTGATTCCAGGCCCCAAACTTCATGGGGCAGACAGGGTTCAAGTCAGAAAGCACATCAGTGGTCTCCCAGGGAGAGCTTACCTTGAGAGGAGGCGATGACCAATTGTTAACCAGGGTCCCTGATATGAGAATCTGACAGTGTTGGGAAGAGGGTAGGTGAGGCATAGGAAAGGTCCATGGCTCTGGTGGGAAGCCCTCCCAACCCAGCTACAGGAGCTTGGAGGACACATTCTATGGGAACAACAGCTGTCCCCTGAGTGCCACAGAACAAACGGCATCCCCGAGAGCTCAGACTTAGGGCACCCTTGGTCAGCATGTCACAGAGGAGCTGGAATTGTCTCCTCGGAAGGAAGGCTGTGGTGTGTAAGGGTCATCTTCCCAATGAACAGGTCAATGCAGCAGTGGACAAGGACACACCAAACTGAAGGGGACTTGTCAGCATCGACAACGCCTGCTAGTGATGGGAGAAAAGAGCCAGAATAGGTCCTGCTGAACATAGAACTGGTCTCTGGATTAGTAGCGCTCATGGGATTCATGGACAATTCACAGGCAAGGAAGGGGCCCCTGGAGAAAAATAATTAACTTCCTGCTAATCTGTCATCAAATGGCACAAGACGACTTTAAATCCAACTAAAAAGACATTGGACATAATTTGGCAGTTTCTATTAATAGAAAGAAAATGCTATGAATTAGGAATTTCCTTTGTAGGAAGAGTATATAAAGATATCTGGATAAGAATGCTCATGGCAACATCCTATATAATAAAGAGGTAATATGCAAATTGACCCTCACACCCTTGCACAAGATGGACCCCCCCCCCATGTGGTCAAAGATGGCCACCATTAAGATGGTCTGCAGGGGAAGGTAGTTGTGGGTGATCAGGCCAGCAGAGGAGGGCAGTTGGGGGGAAGGTGGGGAACAGGTCTTCA